ATATCAGGAGATTTGCCTCTAGTTTTTTGTATTATTGCTATACCAGATTAAATGAAGCTCTCTTATTTGTCGGATGCTAGCTTAATACATTTTGATTCTATAATTTTGTCCATAAATTGCTTTTAAACTGTTGGTCTCATTGAGTTTTTATAATAATTTGAATTCCACCGATAACTTTTACTTTTTGCTTTTACCGACTCCTACCATATATTTGGGTTTTTAATACATAAACCTTTCGCCCAGGATATTCTCTATAGCTAGCATATTGAATAAGCTACAACGGTATGTAGTTCAATGCGGTCATATGGGACTTGACTCTAACGTAATGTATAAAGGGTCTGATTTTTGCAGTTTTAATTACTCTCTGCTTTATCTTTTACTGAATAAGGAGTTGACCAACATAGCTATACCCATCATCATGGAATAGTCAACAAATCATATATCATAGTATGTTTTATGCATGAAGTATGGTAGTAGGATATAACTAAATCGCCCTAATTCATACATCCTTTACTGCATTTTGGTGATTGAGAACCGGAGATAAATAAGTTTAAGCATTTATCTAAGTTCTTGTACGTTTTGACTTGTAAGTACGACGAAATAATGGATGCCAATTTCCTCTGGTTAACTAAAATATTTATACTTATGAGACTTGGCCGATAAAAGGACTTCTTGAAAAGAATGCTGTAGAGATTTGAGTCTTGTCCATAAAGTTGTGTGACCTCTTCTTCACAATCACATAATATGTCAACATTAATATTGTCGTAACTTTCATTTCATTTGAAAAGGTGGGTTAAAGGGATTCGTAGATTTCCCTCACCGGATATCGCAGGAGGGTTGCCTCGGACTTTTATCTGTTGATTTTTGTGAAGAAGAAAACAGCTTAGTGTATTGAGACCCCAAAGACGGTGAGCCGAGGTCTCCGATAAAGCCAATCTACGAATCCCTTCGACCCGCCTTTTCAAACAAAATTAAGAGTACGCCAGTATCAATCGATTAGAAGATTCTTCTAAACCCAGCTTTACTTAATATGTGAGCATTATTTTGTCTTCTTACTTATTTTGGGAGGAGGAGGAGTATGTCTTGTACACTTGTCTGTCATTGCATCGATATTTGAGGTCGAATCGAGTCGTCGGCATCGAACACCTCAATTTTTTCTACTTAACCCTGAAGATGAGTTTTTATCACATAAGAAATTGACCTCGACGCGGTAAAGGAGGATAACGCCAAAAGTGACGATATTCAGTTTAAAATGGTAAGCTATACTATTTACTAATGGTTTTATCAAAACTTTCAAAATTTTTACACGAATTTCTAACACTCTCTCTTTATATAAGACCCTATTTCGTTTAGGGTGATGAAACACTGGTTGTGGAACTTTCTAACAATGATAAGGTAGGCTTGAACTTGAACTCCTTGAACTGCATATTGCCTTATTTCCCAAGAGGCAGTCTCATTTAGGGTGTCCTTTATTGGAAGCAAAGCTATGTGAAATTAACTTGATGATTGAGGTCTATTTATATGATTGTAGAAAAATGCATATAGTAGTACACAAATATCTTAAACGAAATCTATCATATCATATTTTAAAAAAGATATATATATATATAATGTAGAACTTCGTGAGTTTTTTGTTATCACTAGATAACCTTGGTTTTTATTATATAAGGTGTTAGAACTCTCCTAAAAAATTTTCCTTAACCTTAATTTCATATTATTCTCCGAGTTTTACCATTACGTTTTCTAAAGAATTCTTTCTGTGTGTCTTTTAATGCATTATCACTCCTTCATGTATTTGTCACTAAGTTTGGTATAAAAAATAAAAAATATTGCTATTGCAAAAAAATCTGAAAATTGTAACTTGACACATATATCATGACAAGCCTTGAATGAATTTTCTTATTAGTTTGTGCTGCCAATACAGGCGCAAGTTTCAGTCCTCCCTTCTACCCCTTCTATTCCGGCTATGTCCAGCATCAAAGCTCGTAAGCGTCAACGCGGGCGCACTCAAAGATACACCAGCAATGTCTTTTCCATGTTTACTGAAGCCCAAATAAATGAGTTTAAAGTAAATTTTGATATAGTATTTAGTCATTTTCTTGGATGAACCTTTAAATTATCTAATAATTATTCATCATTGTCTTTAAATTACAGGAAGCCTTTTCAATGATAGATGGAAACAAGGATGGTATCATTGATCAAGGTGATCTAGATGAAATGTTTAGGTCCCTTGGAAAAAGTCCTACAGACGAATTACTAGATGGGATGCTTACCGAAGCACACAATTCTATAAACTTCACAATGTTCCTTACATTATTTGGGCAAAAAATGATGGGCTGTGATCCAGAAGAAACTATTTTAAACGCTTTTGCTTGTTTTGATCCAGATGGAACAGGTAAGTAAGATTACATATTTATCTTCCTTCATTCCTGCTATACGAAATGGCCTTTGTCCATAGTATCGGTCGAATAATGTTTAAAAATTAAATCGTTGTTGAGACTTTCATTTCGTATCAAAGTCCTTATTCCTAACATTTTTATTACATTATGTACTGATTAGAACTAGTACCCGACCGCGACTTATTATCTTTTATTTTCGCTATCTCACGGTTTGGGAAAGGCAGACTATAAAATTGATGCAAGAGTACATTGCAAAAGCTAAAAAAAACTTGAGCATCAGGATTTGTTTGAGGGACCTTATATAATTAGGATAGGAATTAATAAAGATAGTTTGAGCAAATTTTGCAAAGCTAATTTAATTAATTTACTCGGCAAACATTTCAAGGATTTTGTAAATATCCTATCGGAAAGAGAATCGGATTTCCTATTGCTGAATGAAGTAGACCATTTTCTTTACATAATGCTAGAGCCATAAGACAGGTATATTAATGATCTGGAGGTGATTCCCAACTGAACAGGTTGCACCAAAGAAATCTTAGGTTATGAGTATGGTATTTAGATATTTATATGGTAATAATCTAATTATTATGAAAGCCAATATATGTGGAGTTTTAGTAGTTATGAGTAGGCCAAGTTAGTTAGAGAATATGCTCGAACATTTAAATGGCATTAATATGC